ATTCACTAACGTGAGGAATTGTCTTATGTAGATGACGATGGGGTTTTTTTGTTATTTTTTTTTTAATGGTTTAAACACAACTGCCTTTGTTTCCAAGTCTGGCTTCTTAGCATCCTGGGTGCCTCTATCTTAGGACCCCCAGCTGCCCCCAAGCCTACAATTCTTTCCTCCCCACTCCAAGCTGGATTCTACAGTCTCTTCCATCAGCACTCTGCCCACCCTTGCTGGTCTGTCTGCACTCTGTCCAGAGCCCTGCCCTTCACATTCACCCTTAGCAAAGTCTTGAGGAGGCTCAAAAATAAGAAATGTGGATGTACACATCTCCAGATTGGGGGCCACAATTGTCAGAGAAATTCTAAGTGGCTCTAGGAAAACTAAATGTACAATTCTTTTATTAAGGATATTCAGGCCTAGGAGAGAGAATCTGATCCTCACAATTACCCAGCCAATGTCTTGACTCAAATACCCCCAAATATGGGGCAGCCCTATAATTTCAAAGGCTAACATTTAACCTTTGAAAATTCACATAATACTGGCACTCTTACGTTTGAAAACAGATAACTCTTTTTCATAACAATATATCAAAATCTCAACAAAGAAAACATAAAAATTCAACAGAATTTGAAGTCAAAGAAGCAACGTGGTAAAAGACTATTTGTTTTACTTTTCCCTCATCTCATCTCCTGATCCACACCCACTTTTGAGCTCTCTGGAACAACCTAGAATTCAGAGAACCAGTTTGAGAACCACCACCTTAGTATCTTTTGACACATTCACCTTCATTAAGCAATGTCAACACCTACATAAGACAGGGTAAATGACGTGTGTAAAAACACTGTAAATTGATAAGAATGGAAAATGTTCTATTTACCTTGTGGCTGAAAACTTCATGCTCTTTTCCCCAAACATTAATGAACTATTTATAAATATTATGTTGGTACAAAAGTAATTAAGGTTTTGCACTGTTGAACTCTGCTGTTTGATATTAGAATACCTTCTTAAATAAATGTGGTTGCTATTCATCATTTTAATGCACATTTCTCACTTTATGTTCTTTTGCTAATGACTTATTATTACTTATTTCATATTTATTTTAGACTAGGGAAATGTTCTACAAAAAGCGAACTCAAGCGATTTTCTTGTTCAAATTCAAAATGGGTCATAAAGCAGTAGAGATAACTCACAACATCAACACTTTTGGCCCAGGAACAGCTAATGAACGTACAGTTCAGTGGTGGTTCAAGTTTTGCAAAGGAAATGAGAGCCTTGAAGATGAGGAGCAGAGTGGCCAGCCATCAGAAACTGACAACCACCAATAACTATACGAGAAGTTGCCAAAAACTCAACATCGACCATTCCGTGGTCGTTCGGCATTTGAAACAAATTTGAAAGGTGAAAAAGCTCCATAAGTGGGTGCCTCACGAGCTGACCACAAATCCAAAAAATCCTCATTTTAAAGTGTCATCTTCTCTTATTTTACACAACAACAAGGAACCATTTCTCCATCAGACTGTGACATGTGACAACAAGTGGATATTATACGACAACCGGTGTTGACCAGCTCAGTAGTTAGACCAAGAAGAAGCTGCAAAGCACTTCCCAAAGCCCAACTTGCACCAAAAAATGGTCACGGTCACTGTCTGGTGGTCTGCTGCCAGAATGATCTACTACAGCTTTCTGAATCCTAGTGAAACCATGACATCTGAGAAGCATGCTCAACAAATTGATGAGATGCACCGGAAACTGCAATGCTTGCAGCCATCTCTGATCAACAGAAAGAGCCCAATTCTTCTCCATGGCAACGCCTGACCACAAGACACACAACCAAGACTTCAAAAGTTTAACATATTGGGCTACGAAGTTTTGCTTCATCTGCCATACTCACCCAACCTCTCGCCAGCCAGCTACCACTTCTTCAAGCATCTTGACAACTTTTTGCAGGGAAAACGCTTCCACAACCAGCAGGAGGCAGAAAATGCTTTCCAAGAGTTGGCTGAATCCTGAAGCATGGATTTCGATGCTATAGGAATAAAGAAACTTATTTCTCATCGGCAAAAATGTGTTGATTGTTAACAGTTCCTATTTTGATTCATAAAGATATGTCTGAGCCTATTTATAAGATTTAAAATTCACAGTCTCAAACTGCAATTACTTTTTCACCAACCTAATACCTTGTTCTATATGGGATAATATGCATATTAAAAACAATTTTTTTCCCTTATCACAGATGCAGCCCACCTGGTTCCCTGGCCAAGGTCTATCTCATTCATGGCAGGAGGAGGGCACAGCCCAGCACCAGATCCTCAGGTATGCTACCCAGAGAACTGTACCCTTTCCTGACCCAGGTGCCACCTCTCTCAACAAACCCCCCAAATTCCAAACCTTCAATCTGCTGAGGATACTATTTTCCCTTTGGTCCTCCTCCCAAAAAAACTCCACAAAAATTAGCTTCATCAGCTCATGCTTTTAGCCCCTCTCCCCAAAAGCCCAGGCTAAGTAACAGTGTTCCTGGGATAAAGGTTTTTTTTTTGGCGGGGGTTGTGGGGGGGGGGGGACAGGTGTTTGCCAAATACCGTCACATTCCTTTCCCGCCCCACCTTTCCCCTCCATTCCTCTTACCTCTACATGCATCTTCTCTCTTCATTCAGCTCAAAGTCCTCAGGTTCGTGGACTCACACAAATTGACTGAAGGAACTATTATTACTGCAGTTGTACCTTCAGCCAGATGTTGATCCAAGCTGAGGCCAAGCCAATACTTGATTATCTCAGAGAAGAGTGACTCCAAATTCAAATACCTCTACTGAAGCTAAAACTGGTGTAGTTGCCAAAATAGTATCAATACTAGACTTTCTCCAAAGAGAAATGATCTCCAATTTGGGAGAGATGATCATAACGAGATAAATAAAAATCATAAATATCTGACAAGTGGTTAATACATACAAGCAAAGGCTGGTGGTGATATCTGAGAGTCTAGGAAACTTGAGCATTTCATCAAGTGAGGCGTCTCTACCATGTGCAAGGGGGAAGTTGGCTGACCAGCCTGCCAGCGAGGAAGTCCCTGTTCATGGACAAGTGAAGGGCGTATCACAGGCTTCAGTGGCTCTGTGACACTGGCACTGAATCAGTCAACTCTTTTGTTCTCGTTTCTCAACAAGCAGCCCTCCAGCCTTTAATCGGTTTCCCCTGCCATGATGAAAATGCCTAAACCTGGCAGAAGAAAAGTAACTGGACCTGCTAGGCATTTTCATCTTCCAGATGTGACTTAATAATCTGAAAATGGGATGTGTTAAGATTCTCATGAGTTAACTTAGTGCAACTCAAACCCACAGGTCCTGCTAAGATGCGTCCAACCTTCAGACAAGACTCAAGGGCCTTTGTGTTTAAAGATAAAGGTCTCAATCAAAGTTCTTTTCTGATACTTCCCCTCCCCATTCCCTTTTCCAGAGACCCTGTGACTTCCTGATTTTTAACCCCATTCCCGATAATACAGAATTGTGTATATTAATATTTTGATAAAACTATTCACATCCCTGGGCTTCCCAGGTGGTATTAGTGGTAAAGAACCAACCTGCCAAATCAGGACACATAAGAGGCGGGTTCAATCCCTGGGTCAGGAAGATCCCCTGGAGGAGGGCATGGCAACCCACTCCAGTCTTCTTGCCTGGAGAATCCCATGGACAGAGGAGCGTGGTGGGCTACACTCCATGGGGTCATGAGTCAGACATGACTGAACTGACTTAGCATGCATGCATTCACATCTGTCTTGCTCTATCTCACTGTTCACAATGTATTCTCTGGTGGTTGACCCAGCAGATATAGTCATGATGCAGCCCAACTCAAGGCTACTGAACTCTACTCAACTGGACTACTTGCCTACTAGAGCTTTTCAGGTGGTGCTTATACAGAGCATTGCACATACACAGTGCTATAAATGATCTCAGCTGTTACATAACCATGTATTTACAAAATGTGGGGCAAGAGCAAGAGGCTATGGGGCGATAGAGCCTAACTACCACCATCTTGGCCAACTGCTCTTTCCCTCCACTATCCCTAATCCTAATTCTGAGAAAGAAAGCTCAGTTGTGTCTGACTCTGCAACCCCATGGACTATAGCCTACCAGTCTCCTCAGTCCATGGAATTGTCCAGGCAAGAGTACTGGAGTGGGGCCATTTCCTTCTCCAGGGGATATTCCCGACCCAGGGATCGAACCCAGGTCTCCTGCACTGCAGGCAGACGCTTTACTGTCTGAGCCGCCAGGGAAGCCCTCCCTAACTTTTCCAGGCATTTCGGATACATTTAGCAAATGTATTCAACACGTGGGTCTGCCCTGTGGCTCAGACAGTGCAGAATCTGCTCACAATGCACAAGACTCAGGTTCAATCCCTGGGTAGGGAAGATCCCTTGGAGAAGGAAATGGCAACCCACTTCAATATTCTTGCCTGGAGAATTCCATGGACAGAGGAGCCTGGCAGGCTACCGAGTCCATGGGGTCGTAAAGAGTCAGACACAACTGAGCGACTACTTTTCAACAAATAGTTACTGCCTATCATAGCCACTCAAGAAATGATCTCTCATGCTTTGTGAATTTCCAGAGGCCTGGCAGAGAAAGCTTTGCTTTGCCACTAATGTTCTTCTGTCCTGAAGGCTGCCCAGCAAGTAAGCGCCTTTGGGGATACCTAGGATGGTTCTGTGGGGTCAGCTTCTGGGGGGTCAGGTATTTCTACCTTTACTCTTTCATCTCTGTATCCCCAATGCCACCCACTGTTTATGTATTCCTCAGGTGAAGGGGATTTGAAAGGCCATTCACACCCTACAGCAAGGATATGTCTCCTCTCCCTCCCCAGAAAGATTTCTCAAACTCCGTGAGCTTTCCCATCTCTTCAAGAAACCGCACCACACCTACTCCGCATTTATATTAATTACACCCCAGGCTAAATGTTGACTTTCTACCTTCCAGGATCACCTGTAAGCATCCAACACTATCCTGGGCACATATATTTTAAATTGCTTGATTGAGAAGGTTAACCATGCTGAATTGAAAGATATGAAATTGGGGGCCATCTGTACCTGAAAGAGAAAGGTCATCTATGAAGATTAAGTCCGCTTCTTTATATGAAAAACTGAACCAACAATGAGGGGCTAGTCTTAAAAACATTCTTCCTTTATACTCTTCTGGATCCTTGTATAATATATTCTTGGTCATGCTTTTTCCACCGTGTGTGTGCTCAGTCACCCAGTAATGTCCAACTCTTTGCAACCCCATGGACTGTAGCCCTCCAGGTGCCTCTGTCCATGGAATTTCCCAGGCAAGAATACTAGAGTGGGTTGCCATTTCCTCCTCCAGATCTTCCCGACCCAGAGATCGAACCTGCTGTCTCCTGTATCTTCTGTATTGGCAGGCAGATTCTTTTCCACTGCAAATTACCACTTAACATTCTAATTAAAATCTGACCCACATGTTTGAGCTTTCTGTACAGAGCTACCATCCCTTCTCCCCACCTCTTCAGGGACCAGATATGTATGTGAAAGGGGATATGATAGGAAATAGATTTCTGCACGAGAACCCCCAGTTGCAGATGAAAGCAGTTAAGTCACTGAACAATAAAGCTGACTTTTTTCTAGTAATATACATACTACTGGAAATTGGAGACAAGGGTTCCCCCTTTGAAACCTCTTCCATATGTGACTTGCTTATGGCCTTTCCACTGTCTCCCCTTACCACCATGCAGGAGTGGGCTCCCACCAATAAACCCTAAAGAAAAACATAATCAACAACAGAAATCAACAACCACAGGAAAGTCACTGGGTGACAGTGTGCATGGACAGCTGAAATGATTCCAGCCTCTACCCCTTTAAACTCCAGGGAGCATCAACCTTAGCCATTATCAAAATCGGCACCAGCGTGGAGCAGGAATGAAAGCACAGGACTAAATTGCAAAAGACACAACTTCACTTCAGCCCATCTACCCATTAGCTTCTATGCTTTTAGCAAGTCAGCCTCTCCCAATTTCAGTGTCTTCAACTGCAAAGGTGAACAAAGCTATCTGCCCAGTTTCCCAGTGCTTTCACGAGGCTCCAGTAAGGTGAGAGAAACAAGTGCAGAGGCCACTCCTGATCAAGGCTTTATCACAGCCAGGTGTCCAGATTAACAGCATCATAGCTGTTAATCCTCACAAGCCTCTTGGAGCTCATATTAACATCTTCATTCTACAGATGAGCAAACACAGCCAGTTAAGGCCCTTGCCCAAGGTCACTACCTAATACATTATTCAAGTTTGGGGCTCTTTCGCCTGTGCTTTAACTGCCACATTAGACTGCCTCCCTCTGTTTTTGAAATAACATTGAAAAGTAAGGGTCTATAAACAAAATGTGTAAGAAAGCAGATCCCCAGAGAAGCTGGCAACCATGTTTGATTCACCCATTTCTTTTTGACTCTTTACCCAGTAAGTGCTTACTGCTGTCTCCTTCCAATTTTGTTAAACTGCTTTCTCCTCCACCTTCTAGCTTTTCCTTTTCCTCATAGTTTTGCTTTTGTGCCCCTCTCCTCTATTAGATCATTTTTAAGCTTTCCTAATTAACACAATGAGAATCACTTAAAAAAAAGCATACCCTTTAAAAGTGCATGTAATTAAAAGACCTTATCTGAATATGTAACTGGAACTAAATATTCAGTAAGAATGTAGGACACATTTACATTTTTTCTTTTCGTTTAACCACCTCTTTCTTGAATTAACTTTAGACATAGTTGAGACTTTTACAAAGGTAAAATAACAGAAAACCTAGTAAATTTTTAAGAGTCATCATGAAACCAAAAGTCATTTCTGCTTTAGACTGTCAGCATATGATTACACGAGAATTTCATCAGATTGAAAAATAAGAACAGATTTGACTCTACATAGAATCCTAAATTCTCAAGCTTTGGCAAAAGGGGGCTGTTTACCAATTTCAGTGTTGCCTCTTATCCAAGGCTAATGGAGCTTTTCTTTCCTATGGGCCACAGGACACTTTGCTCATTCTATAACTGTATTATCATAACCAGGTTATATTGTGGCCTGTTTTTACATCAGTCACCTCCACTAGACAGACGGCTAGGGCAAAAAACAGCATTTTACTCATTTTTGTATTTTGAGCATGAAGGTCCTCAACACAAATTTGTTGAGCAATGGAACAGAAACTCGCATGCAGTAGAAAAACATGCAGCCTCGGCCAGTAGGGGTTATCACAAGACAGGACACATTGATTACTGACTCTTGATTGGCCTAAATGAAAATACTCTAAAGTCTTTGGGTTTGGAGAAGAGGCAAGATACGTGGTGTGTTTTTCAAACCATCCTTCACAGATGGAGCAGGCTGGAGCTTGCTTGCTTTCATCCAGGTGGTAATGATTTTGAATTATAATTTACACCAACTGTTACACTGTCTGATTACCTAAAAACAAAACCCCTCGTTTCCTCTCCAGGTTTAGCCATTTGTGATTCTTCCACTCCCCTCTCAGTCTGCACATTACTTGTGGAAACAGGCATGCATCTTATCTTCCCACTGCACCAGAATTTTGTATTATCCTGACTTCTTTTTCAACACACTCCCACACATCTTATACTAACTTATCTTTAGAATAAATTATTAGGGGCCACTATACAGACGAAGAAACACCGTTCCTAAAATTTCTTCAACCCGCGACACGGTAGAGTCCAGTTCTTCTACCTCCTGATTCCTAAGCAGGCACCCCCAGCAAAATCCCCTGGGGAAACTTTTACAAAAATGCCCAGGTCAGGACTTCAGCCTCATCACTTGCGATTCAGGACCTCTGGCGGTGGGCCCAACAGGGATAAAATTTGAAAAACGCTCCAGGTGCTTAGGAGAAGCACCTGCGCTTAGGCAGCCCCGCAGCAGACAACGTAAAGCTTGGGTCAGTATGTACTCCCTGAACACTTCGGCGTGACTTCTTTCCATCGAAGTGGCCAAACGGACGCGCAATCCCAGTGAAGCAGCTGCAATAGTTGTCACTTGACCCGTTTGTCTCAATAGTAGAAGGGGTTCCTGTGGACCTCCTCACATTTGGTAAACGAAACGAGCACCGGGGGTCGTTTTCCTTTCGTACCCCGCCCCCTCCCATCGCCCCCCAATACACACACACACAAGTCCGGCGCCAGTCACTGATACCAACAACTCAGCTGGGCACCCGCAAACCCTACGGCCACTGTCGCCACGGGCAGCGGGTCCCGCCCGCCACCCACCGAGGACACCCCGCCCCCATCATTCCGCTCCCTGCGTCGCCGAGGGTCCCGGGGGGTGCCACGGCCCCCGGTCCCTTTTCTCCCGAAGTCTGTGGGGACTTCCCTCGCCTTCACTCGGTCATTTTCTTGCCAACAGCTCGGTCTCTCGGGGGAAGGGCTACGCTTGAACTTGAGGTTCTCACGTTTGGGGTGGTTCAGAAATGATTCCCCTGCGGTAACGCAGACCTGCCGCACGCACCGCCCCCCAGCCCCCGCGCACCCTGAACTTGGATCCCGCCAAAAACGTCCCCCCGCGGGGCCGGGCGCAAGGTGGCAGCGCTATCGGCTGCCCGGTCAACCTCGCCCGCCCGGCCCCGCGCACGAGCGAGGAGCCGCGGGCTAGAGGCGAAGGGGAAGACCGCCCGGAGCTGTACCAGGGCGGCCGCCCGCGGCCCGGGCGGCCTGCAGCACGTGGGAGCCGCCTCCCCGGGGCGGCCTGCACCCGGCGCCGGGCACCGGCTGCCCCGCGCGCCCACCTGAGCGCCGCTCCCCCGCCCCGCGCCCCACTTTCCTGTCCTCCCGACTGGCTGCCAAGTTTCTCTTCCCTGCAAAGTTCTCGAGCCGGATCTCGCGGCCTGGCGCCGGCAGCCTGCGGGGGAAGCGGGCCGGCTCGGGCCCGGCGGCGCGGAAAAGGGGAAGGGGAAGAAGGGGCGGGGAGCCTCAGCGGGGTGATCCCCTCCGACCCCGGCCTGCCCCGCGTAGCCGCACCGCGCGACGCGTGCGTGGTTTTCCGCCTGGGGCCTTGGCCACTCTGCTCCTCTCCCAACGACACCATTCTCACCACCCCCAGTGGCTAAGAGCTCGGGCTCTGGGGTCAGGCCACTCCGGTTCAATTCTTTCTCCACTACTTAAAAGTGTGTTATCTTAGACAACTTATTTACCCCTCTTTGTAAAACTGAATGCCCTTTGGCTCAGTGGTGAAGAACCCGCCTGCCAATGCAGGAGACGTGGGTTGGATCCCTAGGTCTAGAAGATTCCCCTGGAGTTGGAAATGACAATGCACTTCAGGATTCCTGCCTGGAAAATGCCATGGAGACGGGAGCCTGCAGGGCTGCAGTCCGTGGGCGGCAGACTGAGGGCGCATGAACACTTATTAGGCAGTTTACTTTACCCGTCTTTGCAAAATTAGGAAAACGGTCCCCGTCCAGGGCGAATTCAGACTTTGTGGAGCCCGAAACTTAAAACAGGGAGAGGAGGAGTGTTCTGTTAGATTCAGGACCTCGCAAGGGACTCATGGAAGTGAGGGCCTGCTGCTGAAGCCTCATTAACTCAACGTGTCAAATGCTCAGGTTGTTGCAAGAATTAAATGAGGCAAACGGTGAGAAACGCCTGGAATGGGGCCTGGAACGCTCAACAGGTGTTGTTTGTCGGGATGATTTCTCTGTAATCGGTCAGGTGGATCTGAGAGGGGAGGAAATGACACTGATTGTCAATTATGTGACAGATGTTTTAAGTACACATGTGCTTAATTCATGCACAAACGTTAGGCCAATTTCACAGCTCAAAAGTTTCAAGTGCAGAAAAGCCATGTAACTTGCTCGTGGCCCACAGTCCAATTCTGCCATCTTGCAAGTCCTCGGTTTTTCCACAATTCCACCTCACAGGTAGTAATATGTAAATATATCACTATAAGCTGTCGTTTGGGTAGGAAAAGAAGAAATTCCCTCCATGAGAGAGCAAAGTGCCTCAGAAATACCTGTATTTCTGAATTTTCATTGCAAAATTTCCCCAGCTAAGTACAACAGCAAATGGATTGCCCTTGAAATTACAGGGCCTGCCTGTGAAGTACCTTGTTGGAAAATCAATAAACATCTTTACTTAAAAGTGTTCAGATTACACATTTGCTTGCTCTGCTAGCATTACATGTTTACTTTTTCTATCGATTATTAATACTACTGCAATTCAGATTAATGAGTTTATAAACTATCTCCAAAGGGCTTATAAAGTAAGATAAACAATAGTATAATGAAAGGAAGTCTCCTTGTATAAGGCACTTATTAAAAAATTACAAACTTTTGAATCTCCTTGAATCACCACATCTCTTTGCTCTAATTGTA